CCCCCCAATCAGCTAGTAGGTTTCATTGTGAAAAGTCTAGTTTGGTTAGCCTAGTCTTTGAAAATATTGATTGCTTAAAAATACTTATTTATAAATGGGATGTTCATATTTTCTTTTTCTGAAGAAGCTGGCAGAGCCTGAACTTAAAACTCACGTAAAAGCAACTTTTCAATTTGGTAGAATTTATTTTGCTTTTGACCATTGTCCTTTAAAGATATTGTGTGTTGTATGAACAGAATGTTGATGTAAATTAATGCTTTTCCTAAAAGAAAGATCCTGACTGGTTCCCTGCAATATGGACTGTCTTCTCCAACAATAGATTTTATAGCCAGTATTGAGGAATCGGGGCCCGCCTTAATAGGTGTTAATGTTCAGAAGTACAAGCTCGATTTGGTGTCTCCACATTCCCATTCCCATTGGGTTCCCATTCAAATGGGGAACTTGGATGTTGGCTTTTATGTAGCCGAGGGAGAAGTCTGATCAGGGTTCTGTTAGGCAGACTTCTGGGATGAAAAATCAGATCGAAGAAGTCTGCAGCTGGAGACCTTTTTCTGAAATGATGTGAATACTGAGGCTCTCAGTGTGCTTGAGGAGGCTGCAGCTGAGAGTTCAGGAAGCTTGCCCTTTATGGCCCTGCCAGTTTACTAGTGACCCTAGCTTCTTTATTTTGTGGTTGAGTTCTCTCTCTCTCTCTCTCTTTTAAATGTTTTAATTTACCTTTATTGTTGAAAGTATTACAGATATTCCCCTTTTTCCTCCTGTCGATCCCCTCCTCCCCACTCCCACCCCTTCCCCAGACTTTTACCCCACTATTGTGTGTGTCCATGGGTTACACATACATGCCTGTAAGTTCTTTGGTTAATCCCCCCCCCTTCCCTTTGAAATATGTCAGTCTCTGTTGCATGCTTCAGTGTCTCTGGATCTATTTTGTCAGTTTATTTTGTTCATTAGATTATTCTTCTCTAGCTTTTTCTTGTCTGGGAAACTCTTTACTTCTCCTTCAATTCTAAACAATAGCTTTGCTGGTAGAGTAATCTTGTTTGTAGGTTCTTGCTTTTCATCACTTTGAATATTTCTTGCCACTCCCTCTGACCCGAAAAGTTTCTGTTGAGAAATCAGCTGATAGTTATATGGGTGCTCCCTTGTAGGTAACTAACTGCTCTTCTCTTGCTGCTTTTAAGATTCTCTCATTGTCTTTAACCTTTGGCATTTTAATTATGATATGTCTTGCTGTGGACCACTCTTTGGGTTCCTCTTGTTTGGGACTCTCTGCAGTGCCAGGACTTGTAAGTCTATTTCATTCACCAGGTAGGGGAAGTTTTCTGTCATTATGTTTTCAAATAGGTTTTCAATTTCTTGCTCTCTTTCTTCTCCTTCTGGCATCCCAATAATATGAATGTTGGGCTGCTTGAAGTCCCAGAGACTCCTTACACTATCTTCATATTTCTGGATTCTTTTTTCTTTTTGCTCTTCTGATTGGGTGTTTTTTGCTTCCTCAAATTCCAAATTGCTGATTTGATTCTTGGTGTCCTCTACTGTTGATTCCCTGTAAATTATTCTTCATTTCAGTTAGTGTATCCTGCATTTCTGAAAGGTCCTTTTTAAGTTTTTTTATTATTTTTTTAATCCTCACCTGAGGGTATTTTTCCATTGCTTTTCAGAGAGAGGAGGGGAAAGAGAGGAGAAGCATCAATGTACGAGAGAGACATTGATTGGTTGCCTCCTGCATGCATCCTAACCAGAGCCTGGGATTGAGCCTGCAATTGAGGTACACGCCTTTGGCTGGAATTGAACCTGGGAATCTTCAGTCCTCAGGCCAACACTTTAACCACTGAGCCAACTGGCTAGGGCCTCACTGGTCCTTTTTTATGTTATTGATGTTCTCACTAATTTTCTTGACATTCTCACTAAGTTCCTTGAAGCTCTCATTAAGTTCCTTGAGCATACTTATAACCATTGTTTTGAATTCTGTATTTGTTAGCTTGCTTGGCTCCATTTCATTTAGTTTCTTTTCTGGAGATTTCTTCTGTTCTTTCCTTGTGACATGTTTCTTTGCCTCCGCATTTTGGCTGTTTCCCTGTGTTTGTTTTTGTGTATCAGGAAGAGCTGCTACTTCTCCTGGAATTTGTAGAGTGGCTTTGTGTAGTAGGTGTCCTGTGGGGTCCAGTGGCTCAGCCTCCCCATTCACCTGATCTCGGCACTCCAGGTGCTCCCCTGTGTGGGCTGTGTGCACTGTCCTGTTGTAGTTGAACCTTGATTCCTGTTGGCGTCACTGGGAGGAATTGACCCCCAAGCCAGTCGGCTGTGAGAACCAGCTGTGACTACAGCAGAAGAGCTACTGTGCAGGAGACAACCTGGTCTCAATGTGCTTCTTTAATTCCCTAGGTGTAGGACTTCAGTTTAGCTAGATTTCAGGTGGTTGTGAATGATGGTGGTTCTGTATTTTAGTTGTAATTTTGATGTGGTTATGGGAGGTGGCAAGTACCATGTTTACCTCTACCACCATCTTGACCCAGAGGCCCAAAGTGCTCTATGGTTGAGTTCTTAACATTTCCTCATTTCAGAACCTATTTTTGAGTTTATGTTGAGACCTATCATATTAGCTTCCTAGGGCTCCCATAACAAAGTTCCACAAACCAGGTAACTTAGAACAACAACAGATACTGTCTTATGGTGGTGGAGGCTAGAAGTTCTAATTGTGGATGAAAAGGGGCAACATACTAAACCTGACAAGCTTAGGGAGGCCTGCGTGCGGCCTTACAAACTCAGAGACCTAAAATAACCACAAAGGATGGTGTGAAATGAAAACTTTAAAAAAATTTTTAAATATATTTTTATTGATGTTACTTTTTATTTTTTAAAATTTATCTTTATTGTTGGAAGTATTACAGATACTCCCTTTTCCCTCCCATTGACACCCTCCACCCCCTTCTTGCCCCCTCTCCAGCCTTCAGCACACTATTGTCTGTGACCGTGTTGAAATTAAAACTTTTTATTTTTTATTTTTATTTATTTTTAATATATCTTTATTGATTTCAGAGAGAGGAAAGGAGAGGGAGAGAGAGATAGAAACATCAATGATGAGAGAGTCATTGATCAAGCCCGCAACCGGGCATGTGCCCTGACTGGGAATCGAACCCCGATCGCCTGGATCCCAGATTGACGCTCAACCGCTGAGCCACGCCTGGCCAGGCTAAAACTTTTTAAACTAAATTCAGTCTGTGGTGGGTAGTCATGTCCTAGGCCGGTATCTTCCCTGACAAAGGTCAATCTTTACCTTAACTGTCTATTGTCTTCTTGCATCTGTAATAATATATTTTTGTTATATATGTAATAACATACCAAAGTAATTTCCTTTTTCTGGCCCCCCCAAAGCACAGGCACCACTCTGCAGAGACCACAAATCCCCTCATTGTTATTGAGTTAATTGTTGACTATTAACTATCCTGCACCCACCTAAGTAAAAGAAGTGTGTGTCTATCATTTCACTTTTCATCCAATCCCAGAGGTTTCCCCCACTTTGCTTTCTCTCGCCTCCCTAATCTATCACCAGTGGATTTCATGTAACCCACTTACGTCTCCCCTTTTGAGTAATGTATAAAATAAGGTGCAAAACTGCTATTTTCTGGAGCATTATCTCAGCCCGTTGAGATTTTGCTTCCTGGCCATCGTTGACGGTTCGGCTCAAATAAATTCACAAAAATTCTTAACGAGTTTGAATGTTTCTTACGTTGACATAATCAGGGTGTCATAGGACCATGTTCACGGTGAAGTCTGTAGGGAGGATCTTTCCTTGCTTCTTCCAGCTTCTGGTAGCCCCAGGTATTCTTGGCTTGCAGTATAATTCCAACGTCTGCCTCTGTCTGTATCTGGTATTCTCTCCCTGTCTTCAGACAGTCTTTCCTCTGTGCTTGCCCGTCTCTCTGCCCAAATAGCCCCTTTTTATAACACCAGTCATACTGCATTAGGGCCTACCTGAATGACCTCATTTTAAGTTGATTACCTCTGTAAAGACCCTATTTCCAAATAAGTTCATGTTCTGAGCTACTGGGGACTTCCACATAAGTTTTTGGAGACACAATTCAACCTGTAACACCCATCAGTTAAGTTTTCATCTGTCTCAGCTTTATTTACTATTCTGCCTTAAAAATATGGTTGTGTGCAACCTTTTATGCCACCAACTTTCATTCCTCTGTGTAGTACAGATGCCTCAGGAGATGACCTGGAGCTCCTGTAGGAGAGAGGCTACCTAGTGAGCTGCACACCCTTAGTATGTTTCCATCACTCAGCAAATACCTTTTGAACTATCTACAGAGTAAGGCTGTTATATTTTGGAAGCATTTCTGTTTCTGTAATATTCATGTTATTTTGTTTCTCTATGGGTATTAAGATTCAGGTTTAAACATTTCCTTGTAGCAAAACTTTTTCTTTTTCTTTTTAGGGGTTTGCTGTAAAATGGGACTTCTGACTGTATTCACTGGACTGTGGCTGTTTTCCTTAGTAAAGGCAGATTCAAAAGCCATCACAACTTCTCTTACAACAAAATGGTTTTCCACTCCTTTGTTATTAGAAGCCAGGTAAGAAGACATTTTTTTCTTTTTACATGTTTGACCAAAATGTGGACGATATTAGTGAATTTTCAGGAGCTTTTTGGTAAGTGAGATTATCATCATCATATGGATTTAGTAAGAGCCTCTTTCAGTGTGCAGTGTGCTGTTAGAACACAGAATCTTTCTACTAGTAGGATAGGACTATATTGATTCATTGTGATACTTAGAGACTTCTTTAGACAAATGTATTGAATTGATTACATTATTATGCGATCTTCCAGGAAGAGTATATGTGGTAATAAGGGAAGAGAATGTTGTACTTAAAAGAAATTTTCTTTTTTTTTAAAAAGAAATTTAATGTTGAAAATATTACAGATATCCCCTTTATTTCCCCCATTGACGCCCAAAGGAAAATTTCTGTTTATTTATTTAAAAGGAAGAGAAGAGAGCTTGGCAAGGTGGGGTAAAGAGGACATGCACCTTCTAAGAACTTAGAAGGAGACCTCAAGATAAGAGAGCGCAGGGGGGAAGCTGAGAAATCTGAACAGATATTATCTGTTCTAAGATGTACTTGTTCTGCATTTGAGGGTTGTCCAAAATAATCAGGATGCATTCTAATTAAATCAAGATGTTATCTTACAATTCTGCATTTGAGCGTTGTCCAAAATAATCAGGATGCATTCTAATTAAATCTAGAATTGTTGACATCTTTCATTTTTAGCGTTTCATAAAACAATAATATGTCTTAAAATCAACAAAATACAATATAGTCAATGATTTCTTGGAAAATTTTGTATTCAAAGTGTACTTATTATGCTTATAAATATAAACAAATACCTCTCTTTTAGTCAGTTTTTAATGTTTATCAATGGAAACTTACTGTATCTTAGATAATGTATAGCTAGAACTTACACAGACTCTTCCTGAAGCGTAAGTTAGGTAAGTTGCATGGCAGGCTTGGTAAGTCTCGGAGTTTGATAGTACTAGAAATCTGAACTGTTATGTTACTTCAGTTAGCTTTGTGGTCTACCTTTGTGATCTTCAACTTAGAATTTCATCTTCTAACGTTTCCCCCTTAATCCCTAGCAAAATGTGAATGAAGGGTTTGTTATGCCGACTGTATATATGAATTGAATAGTTGGGTCTGTCTCCTAAGGAAAAAGTGTCCTTTGGCATTGATAGAGGACAAGTGGGCAAGTGGGGCATGTAGGAGCTGTCTTGACATCTGGGGAGCCTTGCAGACTGTCTGCTGAACAGACTTTCTTCCATCACTTCTCTGCCTTCCTTTTCTCATCAATAAAATGGCAAGAAACAAATGAAAAACACTGCATATATTTCATAGTGATGGTACAGTAACTAACTTAATAAATGGGGTAAGCTCCTCAAATATTAGAACTTTATTAGGTACAGGCTAGTTGTGAAAGTGAAGCAACTGCAGGTCTCTCGAGGTCCTTTTCTGCCTGAGCTAGGACTCTAATAACTGACCTTGTTTTCCTTTTTGCTTATCTTATTTTTGATGATTTGTCTGGTGTCAGTCTAGGTTATTGAGATTTACTATCACTTTCTAAGTACATTTGTGCAATTAACTAACATGTTTTATGATATTCTGCTTAACATTTAAAAAAAAATTTTATTTTTGTTTAAAATATTACAGATGTCCCTTTTTCTCCCTAATGACCCATTCCACCCTGTCCCACCCCCTTCCCCAGTTCCTCTCCCCACCATTGTCTGTGTCCTTGGATTGTGCATATATGCTTATAAATTCTTTGGTTACTCTCTCCCCCTCCACCCACCCGCCCTCCTCCATCCCTCTGACATTCGTCAGTCTGATCTCTGTTTCCATGTCATTGAATCTATTCTGTTCATCAGTTCATTAAGTTCTTTAGATTCCACATTGCTTAACATTCTTAACTGAATTACATTCTATTACTCTTACTTACACTAGCTGATTTCTTGATTTTTATACATTGTCTTAGAAGATTCTTATGGCATATACCTGTGAACTTTTGAGAAAGTATGCTGAAACTGTCAGCCTTAATTGATCAGTTTTTTTCAGTTTCTTTGATGTATCTGAAATAAGTATTGGATACTTCACCAGCTTACCCCTCACAAACATCTCACCTTTTCATGATATGCCGGCCTTTTACCACTTCACTGTGTTTAGGCCTGTTCTGTAGCTATTTGCAGACGGTTTGCCAGGGCAGTGGGACATGTGTGCAACTCAAAAGGTAATGACTTATTTGAAACCTCTGTACTCACCTCTAGAGCTAGCTGACACTGGGTTCTCCCTCCAGGTGCGGGGCAGGCACTGGTGGTGGGTTACAGCACTGTCTCTGTGGTCTAGGGTGAAGGGACAGACTTTCTTTACACATTGATGCATGCAGCCACAACCGACCTTTTGCTGTCTTTGCATCTAGGCCTGAGGGACTAGAACTATTTCCATGTATATTTTAAGATTATGTCTGATGCTAATGATGCTTTGTAGTTATCCATGAAGTGGTATATATTTAATTAAAGTAAAACTCTGAGTATGTTTTGAACAGCTATAGTTACTAACAAAAAAGTTATGTAAATAAAGTACTGTTAAAAATGAAAACTTAAAATCATTTGTTGAGTGCTAGGTATGATAATGGCTCCAGAATACAGCATGATAGAGAGACAGATCAAGGCGATCGGAGCTCACATTCCAGGTTTTCCATTTACTAACTCTGTGCCTTTAAGGAAGTCAGTAACCTTTTTTTTTTTTTTAATATGATTTTATTGATTTCAGAGAGAAGAAGGGAGAGAGAGAGAGAGAAACATCAGTGATAAGAGAGTCATGATCAGCTGCCTCCTGCATGCCCCCCACTGGGGACCGAGCCCACAACTCTGGCATGTGCCCCGACTGGGAATCAAACCTCCATCTCCTGGATCCTAGGTCGATGCTCAACCTCTAAGCCACACCAACTGGGCAGGTCAATAACCTTTTCGAATTGTAGGATTGCTGTGAGGATTTGGGGTTGTGGGCAAATATGCTGAGCATAGTGTCTGTCATATAGTAGACCCACCTTAAATACCCATTTACCGTTTTTTCTAGTTCTGTATAAAATAGACCAACTCTATCTCCTGCAAAAACTTTGGAAAGCTAAGAAAACTACCAGACTTACGCTGTTTGGTGGACATTTGGATTGTTTCTAGCTTTTTTTCTCTTTTGCCAAATATTAAAATGTTTTTATTAATGACATTTCAAAAATGTTTATAAGTGGAGAGAATGGTATAATACGCTCTCCCTCTACCTGTCACCTGGTTTTTGCAGTTATCAACTCAAGTCCAATAACCATCACTAGCACCACTCTCCTCCCTTCTCCCACTGGGATGTTTTAGAGCAAATCCCATACAGCATGTAATTTCATCTATAAAACTATAGCTTTTTTACTCAATGGAACAGGTATAAGAAGCTAAAAAATTGATTTAAAACAAAAAGCCTCCCAGCTGGTGTGGCTCAGTGGTTAAGTGTTAACCCACGAACCAGGATTCGTGGTCAGGGCACATGCCTGGGATGCGGGCTTGATCCCTAGTGGGACGTGTAGGAGGCAGCCGATCAATGACTCTCTCTCATCATTGATGTTTCTGTCCCTCTTCCTCTCCCTTCCTCTCTAAAATCAGTAAAGACATATTTTAAAAACAAAAAGGAAATAAATGTACTGTAAACAAATGGCAGCATGCCTTTGAATAGTGTCTTGTGTCATTCTTTCCTTTCCTTAATTAACTCAGTGGATCTAGTAATTAATTTTCTTAAGACTGAAATTTAGATGTTGTAAGAGTTATTTATGTAGTGGGATGAGAAAGAATGTATGGTTCAAGAAGCTCTCCTGTAATTAACTGAGAAACATACATTTATTTACATTCAGCCTTTATAGGAGGGTTTTAGCCTCACTGAATTCTTGTTCTCATCATATAGTTGATCAATGTATTCCCTCCCCCTTGTGCTAGCTATTCTGTGAGTGAAGCTTTAATTTAGGAATTTAGTGTTTATTTGCATATCATAATCTATCTGTCTTAGTGTACTTGCCTTCTTAGACTATAAACTATTATAAGGTTGGTATGAAGTCTGTCAGTGACTAGAAAGCCTAGAAAAATGCTACACTTAAGGAGGCTCCAAATAATTTAATGCATTATAATAATGGGTATGTTCAGAAATCTGTTTTTAGAGAAGCTATGCATTACCAGGAAACGTTTCCTATTTTCCCCATATTTCTGTATCTAGCTGTGAAGTAGAGTGAGAGTTGCACACCTTAGTGTTGAGAAGTAATGGGAAAGTCTCCTTTTGGCTAGGAAAGCTGAGATCCAGGTCTGTAGTTCACTTTAGTCCTCTCCCGAGGATATTTTTTCTTTCCATTGCTTTTTTCGCATGAGCCCTGACCGGGGTTGGGGGTTGAGCCTGCAACTAAGGTGTGTGCCCTTGGCTGGAATTGAACCTGGGACCCTTCAGTCCTCGGGCTGACATACTAACCACTGAGCCAAACTAGCCAGGGCATGTAGTTCACTTTAAGACAGTGAAAGATCAGCACTACATTAGTATTCTGACTTGGAGGAGAAGAGAACCAATTTGTGAGTCATTCAATTACTACATGCATTTTCTTTTAGGAATAAATGACTCTTGAATGAAGGGGAATTTAACGTCATTATTTTAGGTCAGTTGTCTTAAGTAAAAAAAAAAAAATTTTAATGGCATTAAATTCTAAAACCTGATTTTATTACGTTAGTGTTAACTTTGAACTAAAATTTGATGATCTTGAGAATTTGGATTTATGGATATTAGAAGATTACAAAATGCTGCCTTTAATCTCCTAGAAACTTTTCTAAGGTTTATGTTTTTTTTGGCAGACCCTTAGATAAAGCTTGTGCATATATGCATAGCCCATGGACAGACAATAATGTGGGGAAGGCCTGGGGAGGGGGCGGGAGCTGGGTGGAGGGGGCTAAGGGGAAAAAAAGGGGACATCTGTAATACTTTCAACAATAAACATAAATTAAAAACAAACAAAAATCACATTTTTTTTCTTTGTAAGATCTTTGGGAATATAAGTGAGCAGAACTAGTGCTAGAATTACTAATTTCTTTTTAAAAAAATTTTTATGGATTTTATAGAGAGGAAGGGAGAGAGAGAGAAAAAAAGAAAGAGAAACAGAGAGAACCATTGATCTGTTGCCTCCTGCACGCTCCTCGACCAGGGATCAAATCTGCAACTGGGGCAATGTGCTCTAGAACCTGTCACCTTCTGGTGCACTGGACAGTGCTCCAGCCACCTGAGCCACCCGGGCCAGGGTGAATTACCAATTTTTAATTCTGTTTCTATTACTGACACATTTTCACAAATGGGATTTCATTAGCCTTCTTTGTATTGTGACTAATAAAATATTTTATTATTCTGGTTTTTTTTAAAGGAATATCCATTAAACTATTAAGTTGTTAACAGCTAATTAGTAAGATTTGCTTATCATTAAAAATATATATTATGCATGTTTGTATAATATGTATTATAAATTGAAAGACAAACTATGGACTTTGAAAACTGAAAAACCTAATTTACTTCTTTAGTAATAGAGCTTATATTAGAAGATTTTTATTTTAAGTTGTTTTATTTTTGATATTTCTTTTCTCCCAGTGAGTTTTTAGCAGAAGACAGTCAAGAGAAGTTTTGGAGTTTTGTAGAAGCCAGTCACAATATTGGATCATCAGGTCATCACGGTAAATTGAAGCCAATGTTTCTTTGACTTCTGGTGTCTGGCAGAACATTGGGGAAAAGGGTCTCTTTCCGAGCATGTGGGGCATGGCCGTTAATGGGATATGCTCTTAATGACTAGAGTTATGATGGCAGCCAGCAGAGCCAGCACAGACTAATAATTATTTTGAGGCAGTTTAAAACTTTGGCTATAAGCACTATCCTTGACTTTTACTCCTTGTTTTTTTATTTTTGAGTTGTTAAAAATGTGTGAATATTTTGTGTAAGTCAAATTCATTTAAGACCATTTAGTATTAATTTAGGAACTATTAGGTTTGGTTCACTTTTCTTTGTTATGAATCAGTTACATAACTGATCTGTTATCTGTTAAGTTGTTGTTATTAAGTTAATGTTTTCTGTTATGCCTGCCAGCCTTCCACAAGTTGAGTGTCAAGGTACCAGATTAATTACAATGTAAATTCTCTCATTCGTTTACAGATTATGATGTGCTTTCACAAACCTTTCCTAATTCAGTATAAACTATATAGAGTATAAACATTAATAGGCAAAGGTACATGAGCAGCCAAAACCTTGATATTACATTGACAGGCATAAGTCCTCGTTGAAGAGGAAATGTGTGAAAATTTTGTGACCGCTGTTAATAGTGAATTAAGTTGATTTTAACTTTGATTTTTATTCAAATAATACGTATTGAAAAACTTATGCCTGAGTTTTTGTATGATATAAATACAGAACGATTTTGAACAAGCACGTACCTTGTAAGTTTTAGTTGTGTAATTTAGAGTCAACTAGAATTGTTCGATGTATTAGAAAAACCATTTTACTTTTAGTTTACAATTTTATGAAACAAATTTATTAAAGTGGGTTTTATAATGAGTTTGAACTCTGACATATAAATGAGATGTCTTCAGTATAAATGGTAGTGTGTTCTTGGTTAGAATTATGGGAGTATGAATTCTTGGAAGTGATTGTAAAAAGCATGTTAAACATTTTATTTGAATTATTATGTGTGGTCCTGCCCAAAGATGATCATCACTAATATTCTCGCAAAACTTTGAGGTATTTCTTTTTTTTTTTTTTTTTAAACTCTCACCCAAGGATATTTTTTCCATTGCTTTTTTTTGGGGCGGGGGGAGAGAAAAACATTGATGTGAGAGAGACACATTGATTGGTTGCCTCCCCTACATACCCCGAAGGAGCCTGCAGCTGAGTTACATGCCTGTGGCGGGAATGGAACCCGGGACCTTTTAGTCCGTGAGCCAGCTCTCTACCCACTGAGCCAAACCAGCCAGGGCAAGGTATTTCTTTCTGATCTCTTTTTCTACTTAGATGCTAATGCAGTGTAGACCTTTTATATTTTGCTTTTTAAAATATTAATATTTTCTTTAAAAAAGCTATATAAAAGGTTATACTTAACACAGGAAAATCTTGTTGCCTCCTGANATCATGGCACCAGAGACAGACAAGTTCTAAAATCTGGGTGAAGGAGCCAAGAAACAACTCCCACCAGCTCTCCTTCAACACCCATTCCCCCCCCCCGCCTTTTTTTTTTTTTTTTTTTTTTTTTTTTTTTTTTAGAGAGAGGGGAAAGGAGAGGGAGAGAGAGAAACATTGATTGGCTGCCTCCTGTACACCCTCCCGCTGAGGTTTAAGCCCGAAACCCGGCATGTGCTCTAACCAGGAATTGAACCTCCAGCCTCTTGGTGCTCAGCCAACTGAGCAACACCAGCCAGGGCTGTCTCCCTCCTTTTGTTTTTCCCCCATTTTTTAAATAACCATTTAATTTGTTTAGTCTTCAATTTTTTTTTGCAACAAATACATACATATGTATTCTTATTTTTCATCCTTACAGTAAAAAATGATAGCTTACAATACACATTGTTTTGTACGTTGTGCTTTTCATGTAGCAGTATATCCTTGGGATTTTTTTCATACTGGGCTGTGTGTTTTTTTCCTCCTAGATAATTTTTTTCAATTGTTTGTTTAAATGCTTTACCCCAAACTACAGTTTTATCAGTATTCTTTAATACCTTGTACGTCCTTATCGCAGTGTTCACTTGTGTTGGGTTATTTGAGTAGATAACATGTGGTAGGCACTGGGGAATACAAAGGCAAGTCATAGTTTCAGCCTGTGGGGGCTCAGGGACTATTTGGGGAGGGGTAGGTAGTGAATAAATAATTTAGTAAATGATGTGATGAGTAAAACAGGTAAGCAAAGAAATACATTATGAGAACACAGAAGAGGTGTGCTTGGTCCATTGAAGCATGGGGTGGGAATTGGGGTGCCTCCTTGGTGTAGGTGACTAGCAGTCCATGGCAGGGGAAGAGTGGGCAAAATGTAGAAGAGAGGAAAAGTCCAGTTGCATTGTGTACTCCAGGGAATTGTAAGCATTTGACAATGATTCAAGACTGTGGTAAAATTTTGCTTTCATATGCCTTTGTAACACATAGCTTTATACAGTGAAAACCCTCTTACCTGGATATCTCTAGTCCTGTGTGATTATTTTGGTTACTGTTCTTCCTTGACAGGTACTGATTATTCCTATTATCATGCAATATTAGAAGCTGCATTTCAATTTCTGTCACCTCTACAGCAGAATTTGTTGAAGTTTTCTCTGTCTCTCCATTCCTACTCTGCTACAATTCAAGCCTTCCAGCAGGTGAGTTCAGTGCTTACACATAACAGTATTTGTATAACACAATGATTGGATATATGGTAGTCCTGGTATTGCGTTAGAGAGCTGTAACTTTTCTGCCTGAATTTTCTAGGATTTATGATTTGTTTATAAATAACAAGCAAAGTTGATGTTAAATCTTCAAACCACATATTATAAAAAATATAATTTGCACTTATTCTCATTTAAGAAATAAAAAAAGAATACATACACAAAAAAGAGACTACCGGACTTCATTGGTACAGCACAGCCTAGGAGGTGCAGTCTTGCTAAACCAATTGACCTTGACTCTGATCACAACCTGTAGATCTCAAAGCAGTTCATGGGAAACATGGAATGTGAGGCAGTATCACAGGGTACAGTTAGGAAAATCCAGCATGTGGGAGACTTTATAGTAAAATGATTTGATCTCTTAGTAAGTTAATTAAAAGGAAAAAGGAAGAGGGAAGGAGGAACTTCAGGAGAGTTTAAAATCTGTCAGCTCAATGCAGCTTATAGATCTTGTTGGATTTTGAGAGAACAAACTCCTATTGTGAAGAGAAAAAAAAGGAAGAAATTCAAAAGTGTGTACGCCAGTTGTGTATTTGATAGAAAAGAGATGTTAACTTTACAACTAGTTTTTCATTATAAAGTAATACAGGTATAGCAAACCACTCACAAGAAATACATAGTATAATGAATTATGATAAAGTGAACACTTGTAATTTTCACTCAGGTCAAGAACTAGAACTTAGTTAGGCACCCTCCAAGACCTTCATGTGCTCTGTCCCCATCACAGCTGGCATTAGCCCTCCAAAAGGAGCCACTTTCTCGATTTTTGTTGGAATCACCGGCTGTGTTTATCATTTTATTGCCCAGGAGTGCATCTCCACAAAATGGAGTTTAGTCTTGCCCCTTGATGATTCATAATGCAAATTGGTATATTAAATTCCTGCTATAAACTATGAAAAAAAAGTCTCTACCTAAAAAAATATATATATATTTTATACTTATCAGGGGGTAAGTTTATTTGATTTTAGAGAGAGAGGAAGGGCGGGAGAGAGAGAAATGTTTTTGTGAGAGAAACATTGATCGGTTGCCTCCCTGACTGGGGATCAAACCTGCAACATAGGTATCTACCCTGACAGGGAATCGAACCTGCAACTTTTTGGTATATGGGATGATGCTGCAACCAACCTGGGGCAAAAAAAATTTTTTGTTGATAATTTTTTTGTGGGAGGGTTTTTTGTCCATCCCTTTTTTTCTTTTGAATAACTTGGACTGTTTGGCCTACAAATTTTTTCACAATCTATATCTTACTGATCACATATTCATGATGCAGTTCAATTTATTCCTCTGTCCCTGTTGCCTGCACATGGATAGCTAGATCCAGAGGCTTGATTGGAATTGTGTTTCATTCCTTAGGCAAGTCTGTAGGTAGCATTCTGTTCTCCCATGAGGAGGTACCTAATGTCTGGTTTCTTCTCTTTTTGATTTAGCAGCCATTGCTGCTCCATGCTTAATCCATTAATTCTGGGGGATTATAAAGGGGGACTCTCTGATTCTGTTGTGTGTTTTTTTCACTTGTTTTTGGAACATGTATATAAAAAGGCATATACCTTCCTCCTTAGCACAGTTTTGTGGTGCTCTTCATGTAAGGCAGGCAGAGTGCATGTTTGATATTTCCCTTTATTTACCAGGTTTCTGAATGAGTTTGATTTATTAGCATTTTTTCTTTTTTTAGAAGAACATGTATTTTTATAAAATTAAATTTATTGGGGTAACATTGGTTAATAGAACATGTATCTTATTTGGAATTCTTTTTCTTTAAAAAATTTTTAAAATTACAGTTTACATTCAGTATTAGTTTCTTTTAGTTTCAGGTGTACAGCATAGTGGTTAGCCAATCATACGCTTTACAAAGTGTTCCCCATGATATTTCCAGTATCCAACTGGCATCATACATAGTTACTACAGTATTATTAACTATATTCCCTATGCTGTACTTTACATCCCTGTGACTGTCCTGTAACTACCAATCTGTACTACTCAGTGCTTTTACCTTTTTCACCTAGTATTCCACCCTCCTCACCTCTGGCAACCATCAGTCTGTTCTCTGTATCTCGTTTGTTTGTTTATATTTTTCGTTATATTCCACATATAAGTGAAATCATGTGATATTTGTCTTTCTCTGACTGACTTCATTTAGCATAATACCCTCTAGGTCCATCCATGCTGTCACAAATGGTAAGACTTTGTTCTTTTTAATGGCCGAGTAATATTCTATTGTTTATATGTACCACAGCTTTTTTATCCACTTGTTTATTGATGGGCACTTGGGTTGCTTCCATAGCTTGGCTATTGTTAATAACCTTGCAGTGAACATAGGGTTACATATATTCTTTTGAATTAGTGTTTTGGGTTCCTTTGAGTATATACTCAGAAGTGGAATTGCTGGGTTATAAGGCAGCTCTATTTTTAATTTTTTGAGGACACTCCATACTGTTTTCCACAGTGGCTGCACCAGTCTGCATTCCCACCAAGAGTGCATGAGGGTTCACTTTTCTCCACATCCTCTCCAACACTTGTTTGTTGATTTATTGATGATAGCCATTCTGGCAGGTATGAGGTGATATCATCTCATTGTGGTTTTAAGTTGCATTTCTCTGATAATTACTGACATTGAGCATCTTTTCATATGTCTATTTGCCATCTGCATGTCCTCTTTGGAGAAGTGTCTAGGTCCTTTGCCCATTTTTTAATTGGATTATTTGTTTTTTTGGTGTTGAGTTGTATGAGTTCTTTATAAATTGTGGATATTAACCCATTTACCAGATGTATCATTGGTAAATATGTTCTCCCATTTAGAATGTTGTCTTTTCATTTTATTAACGGTTTCCTTTGCTGTGCAAAAACTTTATAGTTGGATGTAGTCCCATTTGTTTATTTTTTGTTTCACTTGCAAAAAAAATATTACTAAGATAAATGTTTGAGATTTTACTGCCTATGTATTCTTCTAGAATTTTTATGATACCAAGTCTTACATTTAAGTCTTTAATCCATTTTGAGTTTATTCTTGTATATGGGGTAGAAAGGTGGTCTAGTTTCATTTTTTTGCATGTACCTGTCCAGTTTTCCCAGCACCACTTATTGATCAGACTGTCTTTACCCCATTGTATGTTCTTGCCTCCTTTGTCAAATGTTAACAATATAGGCATGGGTTTATATCTGGGCTCTTTATTCTGTTCCTTTGATCTATATGCTATATGCTTTTTTATACCAGTATTATGCTTTTTTTTTTTTCCTCCTTTAAATATTTTTATTGAGCCCGGCTGGGTGTGGCTCAGCGATTGAGCGTCGACCTAGGATCCAGGCGATTGGGGTTCTATTTCTGGTCGGGGCACATGCCCCAGTTGTGGGCTCGATCAATGACTCTCTCATCATTGATGCTTCTCTCTCTCTCTCCCCCTCTCCGTTCCTCTCTCTGAAATCAATAAAGATATATTAAAAAAATAATAATAAAAAAATAAATAAATATTTTCATTGATTTTTGGAGAGAGAGAAAAAGAGAAACATTCATGTGAGAGCAAATATTCAATTGGCTGCCTCCTGCATGCACCATATCGGGGATTGAGACTGCATCCTGGGCATGTGCCCTGACTGGAATCGAACTGGCAACCTTTAAGTGCACAGAACGATGCCCAACCAACTGAGCCACACCAGCCAGGGCTCTACCACGCTGTTTTCGTTATTATGGCTTTGTAGTATAGTTTGATATCAGGTAGTGTGATTCCTCCAACTTTGTTCTTCTTTCTCAAGGTCGCTGTGGCTATTTTGTGTCTTTTGTGGTTCCATATAAATTTTTGGATTATTTGTTACAGATCTGGTATTTTGATAGGAATTGCACTGAATCTATAGATTGCTTTGGGTAGTGTGGACATTTTAACAATGTTAGTTCTTCCAATCCGTGAACATGGTATATGCTTCCACTTGTTTGTATCTTCTTCAATTCCTTTTTTTGGTGTCTTACAATTTTCTGAGCACAGGTCTTTCAACTCTAGGTTAAATTTATTCCTCGGTATTTTTTTGATGCTATTGTAAATGGTATTGTTTTCTTAGTTTCCCTTTCTATAGTTCATTATTGATGTATAAAAATTTAGCTGATTCACTAGCATCCTTTGTCTGACCAGTTAGTTTTTTTTCAACTTTTTTTATTGTGGTAGATTATACATAAAATAAAATTTATCATCCTATCCATTTTTAAGTGTACAGTTCAGTGGTATTTAGTACATTCATATTGTTGTGCAGTCGTCACCACCTCCATCTCCAGAACTTCTTTCATTTTGCAAAACTGAAACTCTGTACCCATCAAATAGTAAGTCCCTGTTCCCTCACCTCCCTTCCAACCCCTGGTAACCAATGTTCTACACTCTGTCTCTATGAATTTGCCCGTTCTAGATACCTCCTGTAAGTGGAATCATACGTTGTTTTTCCTTTTGTGTCTGGCTTAATATAGCATAATGTTTTTCGGGTTCATACATGTTGTTGCATGTATCAGAAGTTCATTTCTTTTTATGGCTGAATAGTCCATTGTATGTGTATAACACATTTTGTTTATTCCTCAGTTGATGGACATTTGGATAGTTTCTGCCTTTTGTCTGTTGTGAATAATGCTATTTAGGAACATTGGTATGCAAGTATCTGGTTTAATCCATGCTTTCAGTTCTTTTTGGTATGTACATACGAGTGTAATTCATGGATCATATGGTAATTCTTTGTTTAACATTTTGAGGAACTGCCAAACTTTCCATAGGAGCTGCACCAGTAGTGCGCCAGGATTCCACTTTCTCCACTTGCCAACACTTGTTATTTTATTTTTTAATAACGGCTATCGTAGTGGATGGGACACTTCTGAATGAGTTTGATTCACTAGCATCCTTTTGACCATTTAGTATCTCGTGGCTTTGATTTTCTTTTCCCTAATGACAAATGATGTGGAGCGTCTT